AAACTATATAGTTCGGCTTCTAGCCTTGCTCGATCTTTCACTATGGGGAAGGCCTTTAATAACGATTTTTTGAAATTTTCAAATGTATATGTCTGGCCTCCGAATTCCCCTAATAAAAATTTGCCTATATTCTTCCACCATAGCGCGGCCTGTCCTCTTAGTGCAGATGTGGCGATGGCAACTTTTTGTCTTTCAGGCACAGGGTAGAGCTGGAAAGTGATTTTTCGAGGCCTTCTAGAAATATCGCCACCGAATTTTTTCCGTCGAAATTGACGTTTGGCTTGATTGACGCTCTCATCGTCTGGACCAGGTATCCAAATCCTTCCAATTGGCTTGCCATTTCTTGTTGTTGTCCAGCGGCTTCCATCCAATTTTCGGCCATTTCAGTTCGACAAGTGTTCGGGCGCCAATGTAAGTTGCGCGCCTCCCAACCTGCACGCAACCAAGAGGTGACTGCTTGAAACTGGAAAATAGACAAAGTCTTGAGAAGGGTTTAAGTCCCTTTTTATTCAACTTTAGAAATTACAATTGCGTGCTCTTGACGCTCACAAACTACGCCGACCCGGCGGTAAAAATAAAAATAAGAAACTGAAAAGAAATAATAACAAGTGACTCTAACTACGAGGCTCTCTAAACGTAACTAACCTCACCGCGTTTTACAGATACCGCTGCTGATAATTCAGCAAACTTCTGAATATTACGTTGAAAGATTAACAATTCTGCCGAGGCAAGCACACAGGCCGAAACGCGTGGTTCTTCAATTTCTAACTAACTACCTCCACGCTCGTGAAGCAAGAAAGCACACCTTCGAACTCGTTTCCCTTCTATTTAACTCAGAATTACTTCCGCTGACAATTTGAATCCTTTGCGCGTTCTACTAAAATTTACATACTCTGGCATTGGCAGTTCCAGGGGAAAGTAAGGCTTGACAGGAAAGATAGTTTAAACTTAAAATAAATGTTAGTTAAAATAAATATAAACCCTACAAGCGTATTAACGTTTTTCTAATGGAACCTGTATATATTCAGAACCTAACAATTCACGTAATCCAAACTTTCTGTTTTAAGGAGGATACGTCTTTTATTTATAGATCTGTATAAGCTAAAAGGGCTGGCTCTAATTTTAAATGAATTTGTAAGTAATAAGTGAATTGCTATGGTAAACGCATGGCACAGATTTTAAAATGAAATCTACACAAGTTTTCTGGGAATAAAATTATTTTTTTGCTAGAGATAAGGGTAGCGAAATCCTGTTCATCCTTTTGCTAAGGTACGACATGCTATATAGAATTCTTCTCATTTCTGATGAATTTTTATTATGTTTACATTTTAATAAATGTGGTGGGTACTTTATGTCATTTTATATTCTTATATTATTTCTTGTCATTTTACATTCATCTTCATTAAACTCATCCCGCACTTAAAAACTCCAAAGACTCGGATTATTTTGCTTTTTGTTCTTGTTCCTCCCCCCTGTATGATTTGAGTATTTGTAGTTTTGAGTCACAACCTGATACTTTTGCTTAATTGTTTTTAATTTTTCTTGATTACTTTCGTATATCTATGCTGTAATGAGTAGAGAGCTTGAGTTAAAAATTCATAATTGTAAATAGCTGAGTTTCCTTTTTATTACCGCTGGCCTGATGAATTAGACTGTTATTTGCCAAGTACCGTTGATCGTATTTATCGAATTTCTGTATTTATACATCTATTTTTTTGTATTTTTAGCTTGAACTTTACTATTTTAATATTATATACAGTTAAGCAATTTGCAATGTCCCCATTTTTCCTTTTCCGTTTGTATAAAATTTTGAATCGTTCACTGATGTATTATTCTCAAACCTTAAAGGAACCAAGGAATGTTCAGGAAAAGTTCAAAATTTCTATGTAAGCTTTTGTATTTTTTTAAAGCAAATTCGGATAAATCAAGAATTGCAGATAAACAGATGTCTTTAAACTTTCGGAAATGTTTCTTAACATATACTGAATTCAGCAGTATTAAATTAGTGAAAAGTAATGATCTTGCAGGCCGCCGTGTATAAAACAAATAATCACCGTTTCGTAGTAGTAGCCGGATAATAAATCTATCTTTAATTACTAATCGCTGCGTTGAAAAAAAAATAAGAGTAGCATGTTTGTATTCTTCAAAGCGTTATCTGAAACGAATGTTGATAAGAGCCATTTATTTTTTGTCAAGATAAAACAATTTGATATCGATTATAAGTAAAACGAGGATTTTTTTTATTTATTGAGTTGCTGTTCAAAAGTTCACACTTTGAATTTATCGATACTTGACTATGAACTTACTCTGCATTTTTAGTAAAACTTTTGTAGCCCTTGATCTATTAGCTTACTCGTAGCACGAAGGAAAGACATGCACGTACAGACAGACAGATTGTTCCTTTTATTATATGTAGGGACTGTTTGTAATTGCTTCAAAATACAGAATGATGTGTGAGATATCATTTTAACTATTTTTTTTCCTGTCGAAACAAAATAATTTTTAAATGAGCTGTCTGCAAGACTAATGAAGCATTAAAATTCCATAGTCCACAAGAAAAATATAACGCAGTTAACTTTCTTTTACGGATCCTTTGCAGTAAGGAGAAATAATTACTAAAATTTTAGATTCATGGGAGAAAGCCAATAACTACTCATTATTAAGTATGGTCATACTGAAAGAAATCTACCGTTACCTACGAGGCTTAGAATCAAAAACATCTTGGGTGATATTTTGGGGCACTGCAGTTCATGGAGTTGTAATACATTGCCATAGTTTATCTGTTGTAGTCAACTGGTGGTGATTGTGTGTGTCATTATAGATCAGATGTGATCAACTGGGGAAAGATGCGACGATCACTGCGGCCAAGACCTAACTTGTTGAAGGTCGAAAAGTATCAAACATAATTTGGGACGTCCTTTTGGAATGTAGCCGTAGGGGCTGCTGAAGATGTAAAACTTTAGGATTTAAAATGCTTGTATTATAACTCTAACTAGTAAGCCTATCACGTATGCGTACCAGATGCTAGTGAAATTTGTATCCAATTCCGTGCCATAATATAACGCGGCAGGTATGGCGATGCATAAGCAGGCAGTGTCATCTGTTGTGCTATAAAGAACAAAAAAAGTGTTTTCAGTACTCAGGATAACATCTAAACTTTAGTGCTGACGCTTCTTGCCGTCAACGTGTTTGGATCCGTACGAACCATTTGCTCAAGATTTCTGTCGTCTCTGACATTGCATCGAGATAGTGTATGATATTGCATGCCACTGTGTCTGCCGTTCCTGAACCTGTTTTCTATTCGCCTGATCATTTCCAGATGTCGATTAATATGAGCAGTAGTTTGGTATTATGATAATTCACTGTCACGGTATGCTGTCAATCTCTTGCTATCGAATTAGAGCAGATGTTGTTATTCTATCTGTCTTCTTACCATAGGCATACTCTGCATTTCTAATCAAACAAAAAAAAGAGGAAACATGATACTTATATAGGAAACACCTCCTTTCTTCTTTTCTTTTATACTAATTTTAGGCAACGTTAATTGCATATGCCCCGCATTGCGAATCATTTTCATTTCGCACGCTATCTCTATTGCAGGAATTTCACATAGATCAGCTGTTTCTCTCCTACTTAGATAGTGTAATGGTTAGTGACGCTTTCTGCCGTATCGAAAGATTCGTCTTCGAATCCCGGAGAAGGTGCGGATTTTTGTAATGTGCAACAAGGGTGTACTCAAAAGAGACGCGAGCCGAAAGTTCTCTTGAAAGTTTGGTGGCAGAGGAGGAGCGATGGGATCCCTCGGATTGCATCTCAGGATGTTTTTCCTCAGAATTGGAGTGGAAATTTAACAGTTAGCGAGGTCCGGCAATGTTTCCAAGACATATTGCAAGGCTATATCTGTTTGCCTAACTAGCAAATACTTGGTGCCATCCATGCTTGTTCCTGTTTTGCTTCTTTCCTACGCAATGATCGGTATAGTGTTTAGCGATGCCGGTTGCAGTATTGTTGGGCTCACGTTCGAATCCTGAAAAAAGTATTGCTGTTTGTATGTGTATTGTGTGAGTTTAGAGTGGAGGAATTAGTGTATCGGAAACTCTCTCGAGAGTTTTGGTAGTAGGAAAAGATGGATGAGAGATTCTTGGATATGTCCGCCAGAATACTGTCCATAAAAAATAAAACAGACTTGTGCTGTACAGTTAGTGCAATGGAACTTTACCTGTACAATTAATGGTAAAATTCTGGTCTCCCGCCCATTTCTTCCTTTGGTGTCCTCTTCTCCTTAATCCCGAGTGGTTTTGTTGTGGCCAATTCTCCCGGGGATGCACTGAGTGCCAAAGCATCAAAATAACGAACTTTTTGTTCCAAAAGTAACAATTAGAGGACTAAAGATTTAGATCGGTAGCATGAGAGAGCCATACTGAAGACCAGTTGCATTTAGCTAGTATCTTTTGTGGTAGTACTTGTACCTGCTTCTTTACTGATGTTACATTTTAATGGTCAGCAGAGTAGATGGTTCTAAAATATGAGATCCCATGCTTTGCTGAGATTCCTGTATGTTTGAAATATCAAAATTTAACATTTTATTTATTGTATATAGTATTAATGTGTCTGAACGAGTTATAAGTGTTCTATGGACAAATTCTTTTATGAAATTAAAAATATGGTATATATCTATATATATATATATATATATATATATTTGCCCTTTTGTCACATTCTTTTGGAAATGTTATCAGCCTTTACTAGTGTTGTTAAAAAATAAAAGCTACGTGATAGCTACTGATGTTGCCAAATAAATATATTCATGTGTACTGTTCAAGTGAAATGATAATTTGTTATATGATAATAATATTCCTTTCCTCGAGTCTAATGTTAAACCTTCTGATAAAATGCACATGTATAGAGTTCTGTAATATAAAGTGATTCTTTACGAATTGTATCAGAGTAAATCTCTGAGTTTGATTTGTTTACAACATTCGCTATGTTTTTCTCGCTAGATGTTTAAGCTCGAGAAAGAAATCTTGTGGGTGAATTTTGACAAACCTCCTGTGGACGAACCACCCTGTGGTTTTGACGGAAGCGGGTGCAAACCCAGTCCTGGTAATGTATTATTTGTTTTAATCTCTTAGTGTGTATCATCAGAAGATGTACTTGTTAAGTACCACAAAGGAAAAGCAACTGAGAATTGCATATTTAACAAAATGTTTGTAAAAATAAAAAAATGATGTGTTATTTATATGTAATATCTTAGTTTTACAAATGCAACGAAAATTATCTTCGTGTTTTACCATCAGGCTGTCTAATTAATGTTTTATTTAAACGGTGTAAAAATCTTTTTTTCCAATGTCAATTGAAGGCTAAGTGACAGATGTTCTGTTTACTCGAATAATGTAACTTAAAAGTCTTCATTGGAATAAAAGTATTTTTAAGATAATCCGCACAGCAAACGAAAAAATAATGTCCCTATAAAATTCATTCGTTCATTAATTATTAAAATAATTATTAAACATATTTTTCGTTTCAGTAAAGTAGTTACAATTATAAATGACTAAACATCACGTTATATTTCATGATATATTTATTCTCTATGAAACTCTCATTTGATTTAATCTAAAATGGGTGCAATCTGCCGCATTTGAAATACCATATTTCACCATACTTTTTGTACCCTTTTCACAGTCAAGTCTGGTGAAATCTGAGTCTAGACTCCATAATCCATTTAACGTATCACTGCAATTTCTGGCTGTTGTATCTTTTCCCTGGATTCCCAATTTACAGAATATTAAGTCCATTGGTCTTTCACAGCTTCCTTGAAATTTTTATTAACAAAAATATCAAAGTTGGCAATATGCATATCAGGCCTTAATAGATGAATATTTTATTTTATGGTATTAACTATTGTACTTGGACGGGACATGCGTATGTTCTGACCTCAAACATCGAACATGAGTTATCGCTTACTACTTTTATGGCGTACTGCTAATGATTCTCAGTTTTCTTGTGTTCGGATTGTCTGGATATTGTTGCAAGTGACAGAAATTCGTTTCATTTAAAATAACTCGCATATGCGTCAACACAATACTTATATCACATTAAAAAAATTATCCTAAAAGTAATTAGAAAGAATACGCAAATATGAGTGATTCAGTATCGGATGCTTTTCATTCGGACAGTTGAGGTTTTAATGCAAGTTACACACATGTTTTAGTTTATTCCTATAGAATAATAAGGTTAATAAAATTAAGCAGTTTTTATGGAAAAAATATTAATTTCATATTATTGTATCAATAAATAAGTTTATTTATTTATTTATTTCCCTCTGCCAATGTATATTCAGTGTTCTTACTTAAGGCACCCATTGCGTATAATTAACAAGTATGTTCTGAGGAAACATTCGTAGTTAATAATGTAAATCCAGCGGACAAACATGACTGCACTCGTAATGCACGTACAGGTCCAGAATATTGTTACGAGTTATCATCTCGGAGTTGACAAGGAACGTGTTAAGATGTAGTAAGCTGCCTCCCAAATTTGATCTTTTACATGACTATAGAATCTATTAAGAAGAATCCTGCTATTTGCATTCATAAATGTCTCAAATTAATTGTCTTACAACTTTCAATCTATTTTCATTTTCACACATTTCCTTGGACACTAATGCATTAGTTGCCGAGTAATAAAAACTGATTGCCATTCGTAGGTCCACCTGGGTTCGTATCCCGCTGAATAAGTTTCTTGTATGAGAATTTTAATGGTTTCTTCCATGTGTAAAAGGAAATGAGCCAGTTTACATTCAAAACATTCTCTAAACACACATTATATCCCTTGCGGATTTTAATTAATTGTTATCATAAGAATTCCGAGTACTGTAAGTTGTGAAACAATTTTATGTTTAAAAATAACTTAATGGTGGCAAACTTTTCCCCTACCCTAAAACACAGAATAATTGTTTACCACTTTTCACAGCACATTTTTATTGACACTACGTTTTTCCTCATTTATATTTTTGTAGTAATTTGATACGAAAATTCGTTGTCGTTCGGTGTGTAATGCTAAGTCGGGAAAATACACATAAATGTTGTTTTCATAAACTGATTATGTATTCTTAGAATTTTAAACTTTTTCTCGAATGCACGAAGAAGCTGCTGCCTTATACATTAATTATCTGCTTTTTAATTCGGCAATGAGTCTTCTTCTAATCATCGTGCGAGCGTTCCCGATAAACCTTAAACTTCATATGTACCATTCCTTTTAATACAAATACTTAAATCTTTCAGTTTACGCATTTCATTTAACATCGTCCAGCTATATTTTTTCGTTTGTTACTTGTTTGTTCACAAGCATATAATTCTACCTGTGAAAATTGTGTTTTGGTGTTACAGAAAATCTTTTGAAGTCCACTATATTTTACAATATAAATTCATTTTACTTTCCCAATCAGGAACACATATCTCACTAGCATCCTTTTTGCGGTTTATAGCTGTATTCTGATGTCTTTATGTCTTGTTTTTCATTCGCCTTACATGAATGATGCCGTTTGCCTAAATGGGCAGTTTACTTATTTACTACGCAATAAACTATTACAACTTTCAGCTTGTATATTTTCAGTATGAATGTTTGCTAGCTGTGTATATGAGCAGTAGGCTAATAAATTCGATGACATTTAGACATATTTTTTTTTTTTTTTAAATTTCTGTTTTTGTTTTAAATAACTTTATTTCCCGTATTTATTAGTTTTAAATAACTTTATTTCCCGTATTTATTAGTTTTAAATAACTTTGTTTTCCAAATTCTGCTCGACACTTTTAGAAAGAATTCCAAGAATTTTCGAATTAACATTTTTCATCAATTTTACAGGCTGAAAATGTGAATACATATAGTTTAGAAATGAAATGAAAACATTAAAATTCATTAAGAGCGTACCATTTTCTGCTGTTTATAAAGTAAATAAACACAATTCTTGATATGAAATGTGAAATGCGATAAAATTATGTACGTGGAGAACAAGTAAAAGGAAACTTATTCATAGTAACAAAATAAAAACAAAATGTCTTATTCGAAAAAGAGCGAAGAAAGGCAACTGAAAAAGAAATTTTCGTACGCGTTTTGCAATTACAAGGGGCAGCCAAAAACATTCTAAATCAAAGGCATTTATTTTTTTTTTTTTAATATCATGTGTACTTTTATATGTATACAAGGTGTTTTTCAGTGGTACAGTTACAAACATGTAGGATGGGTAAGATTCACCCCGATGACTCGGATAATACTGCAGAGTCGGAAATGCTTTCCTGACGCGGTAAATGGCATTGATCCGAATTTTATTGACGGAAGTTTCATTTCATACAAGAATACAGAGATAATAGGATGAGCGATTACATGAACGCGGAAATAGCCGATAGGCATTTGGTTAAGGGATCGCTCAGACATTGAATTGCTCAACAGCAGATTGGGCGTGGTGGTACAATGCAATGGCTAGCTTGATCCCCGAGCTGGCCTTAATTATTTCTTCTGGAACATAGGAAAACACTGGTACGTGATATCCGTATTGAGAGCTTGAAGGAACTTGTTGACTTCTTCCTAGTACATCTGTGGACTGCTAGGTAATCCAAGATTTTCCTTGAAAGCTTCTAGCACATTAGGAATTCCGTATGTTGCAGATGTGAGGCCTGTATTATACCACGAAGAAGATACTTCGGCCACTTTCTTTGATCTCTGTTACATTAGAGAATGTTTGCTTATTATAAAAATGCGTGGTTAGGTACGCGGTGTCCTTTCATTTTTGGTTTTTCCGACCTATTACTATGTGATTTCGAATTGTCCAGGTGCGTTTTATCCCTCCCACAAGTTTGCAACCCTGATGCTGAGACACCTATATTTCACATGAAAGTATTGAAATAATAATTTTTACTGTTGCTCTTTTTTGCAAAGAAAAATATATTACTTTATATGTCTATTATTATTTTGAATTGATTATTGTCAAAATATTATTTTTCCATATCTTTCAGACAAAAGTAAAGAATACGTCTCTGTGACTATGGCATCTATACTTTTTATATCCAGCTTCGTGATCTATATGGTATATAGGTACGACTGAATTTGTTGTTTTTAACTTACTCGTAACTAGAAGTGGTCTAAAATACCTAGGTTTAGTTAGAATGCGTATATAAAATAAGAAACAGTTATCAGCTCATCATTTATTAATTGAGCGAACATGCTCAGTATTATATCAATAGCTTTTTTTAAGTAATGCTGTATTTTTTTAATTATTAAAAGAGTTTGATAGTTTTTTTATTATATTCAATGCGTGGAATTTTATGATTTTAAAGTCATAAAATATTTTTATTCACTTGTAGCTGATAGAGTGGAGAATTTTTAAATAGGTATATGCTTCATTTTAGTTCATTTGTAAAAGTTTGCCTTTTTACTGTATAATAAAAACGGAATCTCAGTAAATGCAATTACGTACGTTATTATTTTTTCAATAGTAGATTCAACTGTTATGTAGGAAGCATACTTATTAGAATTCACTTCCGATCTCACAAAAAACTGTTTCATGATCATATAAATATGAACTAAAACAATGCATGTTAAATATGGCATGTACACCAATTGCGCGAATGAAAATCCCCCCCTCGTCCTGGTATAGTCCAACTGCGCGAATCAAATTTTCTTCCCCACCCGTTGCCTACAGGATTACAATTTTACTTTTCGAAGCCAATTGTAGACAATAGGAAAATAAAAATAAAGATATTGAATTACATATCACAATCACAAGAACAAGTAATAATATCTAACAAGCAGTCTAATTCCCTGAATAACATTAATAAATGCGAGATCTAGCAAAGAAAATAAAAGGTATTGCTAAACAGAACATATTAGCATTACACACATCTTTCATTAATTACAATATTAAATGAAAGAGTATTACAGTAATATCATGAATCAAATAATTGTAAAGCATATAAATTATATTTTTTATAAATTGCATCAATAATAGTTAAGATGTCTGAACTAGACTGGAAAATTTAATATAGTTCACTGGCGTGCAAAATATTATTTCGTATCAAAGTGTGCTAGAATTTCTTTTGGTTAGTTAAAGTAATCATGTAAGTATTTGCAGAAATTAATAGTTAAATTAAAAAAAAAAAGCTTAGCATGAAATCTATTATAACAACATTACTATGCGTGTGGAACTTTGATGTATAAATTGTAAATAAATTTAAATTATTATGCTAAGAAGTTTTTTCTAAAATTTATTTAGAAGAAAAGAATTAGATACACAGTACTGCAAATTAATATAATCAATCAGGCTTCTCAATAAATAAAAACTTATTTTTTTAAACCAAAAAGAAAAAAATGGGATGCAAAAGTTTGTGTAATATACTTGGAAATATCTACACATATAATTAATCAAAAAGTGTAATTAAATTAATAACAAGCTAATTAACAGCATTAAGCTTAATTTCATTCAATCTAAAACAAGCAATCGATCAGGAGCTCCACATAATGAAGTTTAATTGCTATTTTACGTAGATTTCCGTATAAAATAAATATCTGCACTTGTGAAACAAGTGAATAATGTACTAATAGTCAACAGGAATTAAAATACAGTGGTTAAAAATATAACTACATGTAAAAAAGTATGCAAAGTTGCCATAGCTAGAGAAATTGAATGATTACAGAAAGCTCATAAAGTTAAGCACTACAGTGTGGAAAGGTAGTTCTGGAATAAACATGAAAAGAAAATTAGACGGAGAAATAATCCTTAATTTATTGATATAAAATATAAACTTTATGCTTTTGGAAAAGGTTACATATAATTCGCACCGAGGTATCAATCACTGAAACCGAGTTAACTTCCTTCCTTATTCTTATTAGAGGGATTTGTAAAACTATATGCGAAGGTAAAGTGAAAATTTTTGAAATACTTTTAAAGAATAAATTAAAAAAGTATTTTTACTTAACTGAAATTTTTACGATACATTTTTACACAGTAAATAAGTTCCCAAAAAAAGAAAGATCTGGGGGATCTCTGGGATTAGAAACTCGAGTCGAACTACCAATGTTTAGTGACTTTTACGCTTGATCATAATACCTTTCGAAATTAGCCTGAACAATATATTAAGGAAAATAGAAAATACAGCACACATCAGAACAAAAGTGGGCTGAATTAGAGATTTCATGTGTGGTGAATGAGTTAAACTTATCTGTTTGCCATTATGAAATATTAGGAACGTAGCATAAAAGCATCAGTGCAGAAGGCAATGGCAATCTAAATCATTGTAATCTAAATGTATAAAATTATCAATATTTGCTATTAATTTCAATACTGCTGAAAAAATTAGAAATGAATTCTATTATAAATCACATGAACGTGTCGCATTATAAATTAGAACAGTTAGAAATATTATTAGCGTGATTTAGAGACAATCTTTGTTAACAAATAATTTCAAATAATTAATTTTACAAATAATTCAGCCTGAAACTAGGTTAGCAAATAAACTGCATGCTGAAGATTAAGCCTGACCAAAGTGTTAGAAATATCTTCTCTTAACTAGAGTTATAATGCAAGAATTTGTAAAAATTATCATTTAAATATAAACTGGCATAATACAATACAAATTATATACATTCTACATACATGAAAACTTGAATACAGTGCAACAATATGGGAAAAGGAAAAAAGGAATGGATAAAAAGGGAACTGAAAAACCCAAGACATGAATTAAGGGAGTTCGGATTTTTTTAATTATGAAAATTCTGAAAATGCTCTAATTAATTTATTAATTATTATTGGGAAATCATACCGTCCAATGCTGAATGAGAATTGCCCGTTATGACGTCATCAGTAGCATAAGAATCATCCCGACAACGCTGATGGTCGAGAGCAGACGTGAGCAGACGGCTCACACGTCTTCAAGAGTTTATGAACTTTAATTGTGCTTTCGATGTTATGCCTTTACATCATTATGTTAATCCTGCATACCGTTAACTTCATCTTATTTTATACTTTTATTTCTTTCTATTAAATAAACCATTTAACTATTACTTCGTGCTCTCATGCTGTGAATTAAGTCAAATTCTACAAAAAAAAATATGGCGACCAACCGTGCGGCCTCGAATTCCAAAATGTGCGAGTACTAGAACTGTGCTTTGAACTGTGAACTGAGTGAACTGTTGTCACAAGTTATTCGATTTATTGGATTACTCGTATAAAGTGTGGATTACCCAATTGACGACGATCATCTGTCGGGTGAGTACAAAACTTTCTTTCCAATATGAAGTTAGTAGAAATTCCAGAATTGGAAGCAGCTTTAAAGAACAGTAAAAGTTCTGAAATCAAAAGTTTGCATAAGCTTATTTTTAATACTGATGGAGATCGAAATAACCGGAAAAGATTACGTGAATTTTCTGGCTTTATATTTAAACCAGATTCTGAAGAATTTAATAAGAAAATAGATGCAGTGCAGAATAGTTTTACTTTGAATGAGTTAATTAAAATTTGCAATGTACTGTGCATAAATTCAGAAGGTTCAAAAACGGAAGTCGTAACCCGAATTGTCTCTTACCTATGTGATTTATCTGTATTATTTGAAAATATTTTGCATGAAGAAAATAGTGATATTGAAGATGAAACTATTAATAAAATTTCTGAAGTAATGCTTGATGATAATCAAAGAGACAATCCTGGTTTTAACGAGTCTCAAGTAAATAACAGTATGCAGCTTCCAATTCAAGATCATTTTAAACCTCATCTTAGTTTTTTCTGATATTGAAAGTATTGTTAATCCTTTTTCTGGTAATGCATATGAAAATGTTGATAAATGGATTGATGAATTTGAAGATGTTATAAACTTCTTTGAAATTGAGTGATTTGCATAAATTAGTTTTTGCTAAAAGATCATTAAAAGGTAAAGTAAAGCGAAACTATTATTCAGAGTGAACCTAAAGTTAATGACTGGTGTAAGTTAAAAAAGCTTTTGAAATCTGAATATGGTAAAGCTTTTAATTCTGCTGAGTTGCATGAAATGTTATGTAAACGTAAATTAATGCCTAATGAATCTTTAGATGAGTATTTTTTGAAAATGAAAGAAATGTGTTCGCGAGGTAACATTGAAGATGCTTCATTAATTAAATATGTTATTGATGGTATTCCCGATTCTGTGGTTAGGAAAACTATACTATATGGTTGCGAAACAATATCTGAATTTAAACAAAGGCTTAAAATTTATGATAAAATGAGATCGGACAATGATAAGTTTAAAAATCCGAAACCGAAAGTAGACACTCAAGTTAAAGATAGAAGTAAGCTTTCGTCATCAAACCGAAATCAATCTAACGTTAATAAGGTCAAATGTTTTAATTGCCAGGAATTTGGGCATTATTCTAAGCATTGTGTAAACAAATCAAAGGGTGTAAAATGTATAAGAAGTTCGGGGGCATTATTCAACGAACTGTCCAGAGCAGACCCCCGAGAGACCCCCGACAACATCAAGCAGCTTTATTATTACAACGAATTTGTGACAAGGATAGAATTATGAAGACTGTAGAAATAAATAATCATTTAGTTAATAGTTTAGTTGACACTGGTTCAGATGTAACGATATGCAGCGTAGAGTTACACAAGCAGATTGGTTCTCCTAATTTAAATTGTAGCGATATCACATTAAACGGAATTGAATCAAAGCAAACGTACCCCATCGGCTTTTTCATTTCTGATATTTCAATTGATAGTTTTTCACTTCGTACGAAAATTTATGTTGTTAAGTCATTATGTAATCAAATTGTATTAGGTTTGGATGTATTGAGTCAGTTTAACTTCTCTTTTACCGAGAATGGCCTTCAAATAATTTCTCATCGGAATAAAAGTAATGTAAACTTGATAACTGCTGAGTCATCTCGAAATTCTAACGTTCGTTGCGTTATGGGAAATTTGAATATTGCTATCTCATTGAAGAATGCTTTATGATCCTTCGCGATCGTCTGGCGTCTCTGTTAATGTAAACAAAAGTCCCGAAAGCGGAAGTAGCGCGCGCGACGTTTAATTACCTTTCACATCTGGTGAATGCTATTTCTGTCAACGA